GCACAATCCCTTCCCCCTCCCCAAACACACACCCAGAGTCACTCCACGAGTGGCTAATATCTTCCCAAGGTCAAACCTGACAAGGAATTCCAATGAGATTAAGTGGCATCAGTGTGGCTTTAGCCCCTTTTTGCTCATTGTTCTTGGAAAACGACATTAGAAGCAGAAATTACCAAAGTCTTTGTGCCATAAAATCTTGTTCCCTCAGTGCTGGAGATCATAGGAAAGATGTTTGAAACAAGGCCTGCAAAGTGTAACAATGTTCGTGAAAATACATCGTAGAAGGTTGATCTGATCCTCTGTTTGGTCTGCAGTTTTATTAAAATTTTATTTCAACTCAGACTGCTGTTGAGTTGCATTTATTATCTTTATAATATTCATGATCTTGAAAGTTTACACCACTTTTTGAGATGTTCATTTTTGAATGTTTAATAACTGCAGGTGGTTTCTTATTGTTTGCACAAATAAGAGCCTCAATTAAAATAGTATATGGTTATAATGGACGACTATTTTCACTATCAAGTTGACTACAGAACATGAAGATCTCTAAAATTGTCTTTACATGAAGAAGAGTTTTATTCCTCTAATATGAGTGTGTTTCTGTTTGGAGGCCTTTCCACTGAAGTAGCCTCCTCAATGTGTCAGACAGCATTTAGAGCTCTGCCCCTCACACTGAATTTGACACATAGTCTATTGGTGGCAGCAATGAGCATTTTGTCAACTCGTCTCAAGCGCCAACTCGACGTCCAATTACGCCCCGGTGACTAATTTAATTACAGTAGCAAGAGAAAATAGGTTGATTCAATTCATTTCAATTAATCCCAGTTTAACCAGTCAGATCAGATTTGACTCATCTCAGGTCCAAAGTTGCCTGTCACATTTTATCTCACACTATCTCAGCTGTGGACAGATAAGCAGTTTGTGATATGGTAACAAAAAAAATTGGATTTTGTTTTCTCAAACCATTTTTAAGTGCTGATTGTGTGATAGTTGTGAGAGTAAAACACTCAACTTTCAGAACAACATAACAGTAATCATTATGTATGCATGATGTCCACAGTTTTGTACCAGATTATGTAATTCTCACATTTAACTAAAACCAAACAAAGCAAGAAAGTATCAAATTACAAATAAGACGAGATGATCATTTTACCTGGCAGCATCTACACCAAACAAAGCACTTGGAAAGTTTTCATTTTAAAATAAGTTGTCACTTTCACCACAATCTTTTTCTATCCAAATTTTGGTGAATAGATTATCCATTTAAAACTATTATATAAGAAATTTAAAGGGATCCATGATTAGTTGTAACATTAGACTTTATTTGATAAACATATATTT